AAAAGTCCAGCTCAAAACTTTTATCCTCTTAGGTAATTGTTGTGTGGCACTAAAACGTGTTAGTGATCTTTTGAGATGCAGAGGATTATTTGCAAGATGGTGAATCTGGGTGGTTTTCCTCCCACTCTTCCGCACTCTACTCTTTGCAAGTTCGATGCTTTTAGGTGAATTGCACGGTATTCAACAATCTCCGCAATACCATACTGATAGTTTTCTGTTTTCCTTTTGAATTCCCCATAGCTTTACACACTGATTACCGCTCACAAGTACACTGTTGCACAAATATGCCTCATGTTCTCAATTACTTTCTGTAATAGAACTCTTATTTATTTGCTATCTACCTTTACTGACCACAGTGGTATTCTCATAACAATTTAAGTAACGTCCTGTATGCTTTTTGTGTCTATAGATTATATTTAATATATTCATACATTAAATTTTGCACGTAATAACTTTGTCATTATTTTGGGAATTGATATATTCTTAGTCCACCACAATTTTCTGGTGAACCTAACATTTAATTTGTTTTTCATGCTGTTTATTTTACCAGACTGGTAAGGTTTTTCATGTAATGCATCCCCTAATAAACTTGGTGATGTCGAGGGTCCTCTCTTGAATGCTCCAACCTTGCTTACTTACGCCTGTTACCTCCCATGGAGCATAAGCCGCCGACCTTCATTCTTCAACCCATTCTATCCCCGACCTTCCTTTATAGTTCTATCCATTGGTTGTTCATTCTTCTCATATCTACCTCCATTTCTCGGCGTAGTGTGTTCTTTGATGTTCCTCTTTTCGTTTTACCTTCAGGATTCCATGTGAGAACTTACCTTGTGACGCACTTGGGTGACTTCCTCAATGTATGTCCTATCCACTTGCAGCGCATCTTCCTGATCTCATACTCCGTTGAAATCTTGTTTGTTCTCTCCCACAGTAGAATGTTTCTGATAGTGTCTGCCAACGGATCCAAAGTATTTTGCGAAGACAACAGTTATTAAACACCTGTATCTTCTGGATGATGGCTTTCTCAAATTTCCAGGTTTTCGCCTCATACAGTAAAACTATCTTGACATTTGTGTTGAAAATTCTTATCTTGGTGTTGGTTGATAATTGCTTTGAGTTCCAGGTGTTCTTCAATTGTAGATATGCTGCTCTCATTTTGCCAATCCACGCCTCCACATCTGCATCAGATCCACCGTGTTCATCAATGATGCTGCCCAGATATGTAAAGGTTTCCAGATCCTTCGAAGCTTCTCCTTCAAGTGTGGTTCGATTGTTGCATGTTGTGTTGTATCGAAGAGTCTTTCTTTTCCCTTTGTGTATGTTGAGACCTACTGCTGCTACACTGATCGTCTTCTCCTGCGTTGGTTGTTGCGTGTGTTATAGAAGAGCCAGATCATCTGCGAAGTCGAAATCGTCACATCGATTCCGAGATGTCCATTGTATCCTGTGCTTCCATCTATATGTTGACTTCTTCATGATCCAGTCGATCGCCAGGAGAAAGAGAAACGGTGAGAGTAAACAACCTTGCCTGACACCGGTCTTTACATCGAACGGGTCTGTCAACTGTCCTCCATGCACAATTTTGCATTTTAATTCATCATTGGAATTCCGTATGATATTGACTATCTTTTCAGGTACGCTGTAATGTCGAAGAAGCCTCCATATTGCTGTCCTATCCACGCTATCAAACGCTTTACCGTAGTCAATGAGGTTGATGTCGAGTGATGAATCCTATTGAATCGATTGTTCCACAAGGATCCGTATAGTTGCTACTTGGTCTATACACGATAGATCCTTACGGAGTCCAGTCTGTTGGTTTCAAAGTTGGGCGTCTACGAGGTCTCTCATTCTGTTTAGCAATATCCTGTTGAAGACTTTTCATGGCATTGAAAGAAGAGTGATGCCCCTGTAGTTATCACACTTGCTGAGATCGCCTTTCTTTGGTGTTTTGATCAGAAGTCTTTCTTTCCAGTCTGTTGGTACTTGTTCTTCATCCCAAATCTTACTTAAGGGAACGTGGAGTATCTTTGCAGTTTCTGCTACTTCTGCTTTCAATGCCTCTGCTGGAATGTTGTCTCTTCATGCTTCTCTGCCGCTCTTCATAAGTCTGATGACCAAATGCTCCCACCACATTACCTCGATTGTTCAAACCCATGGTAACCACAGTTAACGCCATGTCTGAATTCAGACTTCCGGCATATGAGGATAATAACCTAAGAATTTAGTTTCCCAGATAAAATTCCTGTTTATATCTTGGGGAATTCTCTCACAAGCAACAAAATATGAATGTGTAATGAGTGCTCCCCTTTCGAAATTGCTGCAGAAGTTGAAGATCTAATCGACCAAGCACCAGAATACGAGACATATGATAAACTGAGAGCAGAGGTGATACAAAGCATATCAGCCTTCATTGAAAAGAGACTACAGCAACTGTTGACAGTACGTGATCTTGAGGACAAGAAACCATCACAACTCTTAGGACATATGAAGCTACTAGCCGGTTCAAATAAACTAGACGAAGTTCTATTGAAACAAATGTGGCTGCAACGTTTACCACATAATTTAATACAGGTTCTTAGTGTGTCGGTGAACTCAATTACTCCGAAAGATTTGGCAGACAAAATGATGGAGATCTATCCGGATGGCCACAACTTAAACACTGCACGAGCTAATGGCAGAGCGAATACCAGTGACAAAGCCATATTCCAACAAAAGTTAGCTGAATTATCAAGTAATCTAGCATCAATACAAGCAATCATATCTACTGTTCACTTCAGGAGAGCTAGATAGATGTCCAGAAGAAAACCATCTTCGAAACAACATTCCAGACCACCTAAGCAAATTTCAGATCGACTTTAGCTGCTACCTTGACGTGGTGGTCGGGCTTGCCTATCGTGATGATCCAACCGAGATATATTGGTTGGAACGCATGTTTCTGTAGGTTCTAACATGTCAGGCAGGTCGATTAGAGAATGGTTAGACTAGAAGCAGCAACTCAATGTCTGAGGGTGAAGTCGTACTGCTGTGAGACCCCTCTGATTGCTAGGTCGGATATGTCTACTGAGATATTATTGGGCGCTTGGGTGTCCTGGTGTACAAGCATGGTTGCCTTTGCGATGAGTTCCTTAATTTAGATGAATGATTTTCTCGTGGTATTGTACAAATAGATGGATTTCGCATTTCCACTAAGTTGGTCGTTTACAGGTTTCACAAGGAACGCCTGATTGTGGTTCCGAGTAAACGAGAATGACTTCCACTTTGCTTTTCAGAGGTTGGATGCTTTGAGCATCAATAGTGTCTCTGAGAAAATCTAGGGAATGGGTTCTGATTTGACATTTCTGGATGTTTACAATGATGTCTTGCTTTTGTAGTCGTTCGAAAACAAGATTCAGATGCTAGAGATGAGATCCTTTGTCCGGACTTGCAATCAAGCAGTCATTAATATACGCATGTACGAAGTCGGGACCTCGATAAACGTCATCGACGAGCCTTTGGAGGGCTTGTGCAGCCTTTCTTAAGCCGAAAGGCATGCGCAAAAACTCGTAGAGACCGAAGGGAGTTATGTTAGCGGTTTTAGGAATGTTGTCAGCAGCCATATAAATTTGGTTATATGCTTTAACCAGGTCTGTCTTCGAAAAAACAGTTGTACCTTTCAAGGTAGCTGTCAAACCGTGAATGTGAGGCGACGGGTAACGATCAGAAATGTTTTACGCATTCAGTCACCGATATTCACTATCTGTAAGCCAATCATTGCTGTCCATATGCAAGGGGGATGCCCATGGGCTGTTTGGTGGTCGAATGATTCATATCATGTATTCAAATTCGTTTTTAGCCAACCTCAGCTTTTCGGGAGTTAGAATACAAGTGGTCCTGTAGTCGTGGTGTGATGTTACACTGCTGGTTACACAAGGCAATTTTGGTTGCGTTCGGTATATCTCAGGATACTTATCGAGTATTTGTTGATAGTAAGGATCGATCGTGTGCCCTGCTGGGACTGAAAATAATATACAACCGGAAAAAGAAGTTACACAAACAGATAAATTAGCATTTCCGTCCACTAACCTCCATTTGAGCGTGTCGATGAGCAAATGATGATGTTGTAGCAGGTCTATATCGGTGACTGGCATAGAAACATCTGCACAAACGAAAATGCAGTTGATGGGTTTACGTAAACCCACGTTAAGATAGACATACCGTTGGCCATATGTGGCGATTGGTTTCCCATCGGTCGCCTGTAAATTTGGAACCGGTTCGTATTCATCAACAAATGTCGACGACTTACGTAGCTTCTGACAATGGGTATTTATTTACCGCTACAAATCTGAACAGGGTGGTATAGATTATTGAGCGCTATTGAGCTTACAAAACCACGTTAGCCAAACGGCAGTTTAGAATTAGGAGGAACTGACTGGCTGCTTCGTCAGAGACAGAATACGTTTTTGTGAACTTATAACATGGCCTCCCTAACGAAAGCTCAAGCTCTGAACCACTGAACCCGAATTTATTAGTGTTTAAGTGTAGTTCAAATCAATCCACATGATTGAGTGACTACCTTCCGTCGTCTTCAGGGAGTATCATCCTCACACTCGAAATGATTGAACTCCATTAGTCTTGGCTTTTCGCAAATAATCCTCTGCATCTCAAAAGATCACTAACACGTTTTAGTGATATACAACAACTAACAGAAAATCACTTGAGTGGATAAGCTAAACGAGCGCCTATAAAATCACGGAAGGATTTCTTATCGACATGAGCCTTGAAGCTAAGGAATGCAACCCTAAGAGAAATAGTATTGTGAAATCTTTATAATTTCATTAATTTTGTCCTTGACATTAATCCGAGTTCCATTGAAACATAGTACAAGTACTTTTACGTTTTCAACGGCAACATTAACTTATTTATTCTCCCGTTCCCGCTACAGACCGGTATATATATCATTTTTTATTGGTTGAGAACCATCTTTAGTTAAGGCACAAACCCTAAGAAACTAATACTTAGCAATGCCTTCTTATTCTAGTTTCAAGATTGGTACTGAAAAGGTGGATCTTCAAAATGGTGCGCTACTCAAGTATTCTGTCGATTGATGGCCAGACTTCAGAGTTTGGCCATGGTAAGATATACCTATTCTCACTTTTTTCAAATTCAGTTTTCATTCGTTCTTTACAGTATTGATTGTTTTGCTCACATAAAGTTTAATGAGACGATATGTATAACTTTATTTCCTTAGGAAAAGAATTCTTTTCCTAATCTTTCGTTATGTGGTAAGGCGATTCGCAAGTCCACAGAACTCATCATTATTATCTTGGCAAAAGGATAATTTTCACATCCCTTGAGGTTATAGGCGGCTTTGATAGACAACTTGGGAGTTTGTTTACTTAAGGTTCAAAGCGTCACTGTCCCTTTAAAATAGCCCACATTTTAGTATTTTCTTTGTGACTCCCTTAGAAAAATTACGTATTTCTTTCAAGGTATTCAGCGTGACATTGGTTGCATTACCAAGTGTAAATTTCACTTGGAAATTCACAATGCATGAGATAAAGAAGTTAAGATTTGTCGTCATACTTCCCGGGTGCTCAAACTGAAACAGGTGGTTTTCTTAGGGGGCCACACTCCGAGCCTTTGACCTAAACGTCTGACCCATAAGACAATGGAGCATCGTAAGGAGATACAGTCCCATGGTAGCCGGTGACCGAGAATTGATTCATACGCCATTTGTTCCCTCAGGATACTGGAGTCCATATGCACCGTTGGTTTGGAATCAGGGGTTTTCAACTCCCCCAGGTAGACTCTCTATATCCACCAACCCGGTTAAAGCACCAAACATTCGCTTCTTGTCCTCTCAGTTTTGTAATCAACGCCTCCGCCACGATAAGGCAGTGAGTAGGACTTCGTTGGTAGAGGCTATATACGCGTGGCCATGTGAGAGCATTTGGAGGAGAGCGGACTCTCCCCACTCTCGGCAGTACCAGGGCATTTGGGGGCTAGTGGTGAACAAAACTAGGTGCTGCATTAGTCACTGGTTGTGCAAACAGATGGACATTGTCTACTCTGAGTCCGCGCGATAATCGTCGTCAACTGTCGGGGACGAACCACAGCACAAATTTAGTCGCAGAGGAGCAGATACGCCTGTTCTTTAGTTACTCTTAGTTTCTAAGCCTTAATATTATTTCATGCTTTTCTTCCTGGAAATTTATTCCTTCTAAAATTATATTCTCCCCTTGTTTACTTTTTCACTATTACTGATTCTACTACTTTAGTATCCGTCCCTCTAATTTCCAAAATATTAAGGGGTGTAGAAATTTGGCTCACTGTTTTTTTGTACTAGATCCTACATTGTATATGACTAAATAGTTGTATGTAAAATATGTCATGTGTTGTAATGAAGTATACACTCTTTTACAAGGCCCTAAAGTTCACATCTTGAAAACCGAGAATATTATTACTGAAGTCAATAGTTCTAGAGATACTTCCTAAATTTTCATTGTTGTTGTTGATGATGAATCAAACTGATTCTTCAGTCATATCGTTGACGTTTTGTCCCATTCTCCCTGACTGAAGAAACTAGGTTTCCAAATGCTTTTTATATTTGTTAAACTTAAGCTATCCTTCCAGGAAATCCTGACGAGGCTGGTTAACTCAAGAAATGAACCCGGACTATGGAACTAGTACAATGTTTTTCATTAGTAATTGTACCACCAGACAATATCATCACCCTAATGCCAAACAGGTTAGGATATACTACAACTTACTTTCCATTATATCTGTGTATATTTGTAAAAATTATTATGTAACTGTTTTGCTAAAGTCTTCCGAAATTCTATTAAATGAACTCCATGCTATTAAATACCTTTGTAGCATTTTAAAAGAACCATCTGTTTGTTTATCAAATACATCTATGGTGTTTGGTGATGTTCCTCCTCTACCTACATGTACGGAATCATATGCCTTCCAGGTGGCTGGTCATTCTCGAGAAAATGCAAGTAGTTTTGAAAGTAAGTTGTTTAGTGTAAGTAATTGACTTTTACAACACTATTTATAAACTAGTAATGATATCTGGTTTGCTTTACATATTTCTACAAGATGAATTCTATGATTTTCGAAGTAACTAGTTAGATGTAAAGATTGTATGATGCTAGATATTTTATCGGTAACTGGGTATTTCCTACTTTTCCGGTCACATTATAATTTAATTTATGTAGGGAGGTGATAATTTTCGTTTGATTCTACATTCATAATACTTACGTAGTTTACAAGAGCGATTTGCGATTGTCCAAATGCCGTCCATTATAATGCTCATGTGATTTACTCGAGCTTCTGGACAGAATCACCATTTTACTTCTCCTATCAGTTCTGTACACATATTTATCCTCGTCAAGTACTCATTTGTTAACTTTGAACGTCTCTTTTATACGCTTGTATATGTACATCTCATATTCATTTGTGATTTAATTAGTTGTTTATCTACTCTCCGGATTTCATACACCGTTTGTTTTTAAATTAACGATGATTCACCTTGATTAGGACTTGTGTTGTGTATCGACTTCTTGTTGCATTTTCTGGTCATTTTCCTACATGATTGTCTACTTATAATTGAATGCATGAAATAAACATATCCTCTTTGGATTTTGTGTTTCGGCTTTTCGACTCAACGTTGCATTAACGTGATATACCAAACGTTAATTACGAAATTAAATGTTGAATACATACATCATTCCTCATCAATCTCATGTGGTCGACGATGGTCAGTGAAATAATTGCGTTATCTGTCCATTACTATTACACAGATACGTGCAGTAATCGCACATAAACATTTTTAGTCTAATTAAAGATTTTATAAACTGATTTTGACACTAAGTAGTCTCAACCACTCATAACACAAGTGTTTCAGTAATAAAACACTTCTCTCTTCATCGCAGAAATGTAGAAATATAATCTACACTTTTATACTGTTAAAATGTATTACTATCAAATTTGAAATTAATGTATCTGATCATGATATTCCAAATGATGTTTTATACTTGTCTAGTACTTCGAGATAAATCTAAACCAATTATATACAAGTCATTACAAGATCGTGAAAGAGGTATGCGTGAAGTGATGTTTTATCAGAGTGTGTTTTCACCGGATGCTTCGGAAGCACTTAAACGTCTTCGTCAATTTATTCCAACTTATTATGGAGTTTTTCAATGCCCAGAAACTAAAGGTAATGATGTATTTTTAATGATAGTATTTGTTTCGTGTTCGTTCCTCGCAACACCTAACTTAGTCTGGGCATTTGAACGGGCTAAGATAATCTCCATTGATTTCTTTTACTCCCACTTACTACCTGACTGCAGTACTTGAGACAAATCTTCCTAATTGAGAATAAGATCGATATGACTCAGTAGATATTTAAATACGCCAAATAACAATCCCCACAACCCTATAGTAATAAAGATAGAATAGTAAAACTATTAGGAGTTATGTAGAATTTCCATAAAAAGTTATTTAGTGTCATCTTGATTTATCTATTGGCTGAAATTGGACTACCCAATGGATGGCCTTGCAAATTATTTTAAACGGTTTATTATTGACACTGATCACATTCCGTAATCAAGACACTAAGTGTTAGCCATAAAAATTTTATTCTTGTAATGTAAAGTGTTAAATTTATCTTTGTCTATTCACTGAGTCAGTCAGTCAGTCACAACGTAGAACTTCGTACGTACGTACATCAGTTCGAGTCGCCATACCACATTCACTACTCAGATACTATTGATGTGCGGTAATAAATATTTACACTGTATGGTATTTCATACGAATATATGTATTATGGCAAAATGAATAACAAGGAATAACACACTAAATTCCTAATGTGTAATCAATAACATTTAGCTCATGTAAATTTTTACATCAAAGATATAGAGTTTAATACGACAGTCTTCTCACTTTCATATTAAGCTTTTGAAAAAAATGGTTCTACGTAGCTAATCAGTGTTTTTTATAGCAGGTGGTTATTTGCCAAGTCATTAGTTTAGGTACCCACAATGATAAATCAGTCATAGTCGACCTCACGCAAAGCAATTCACAAGGTTATATCATTTAACATACCGTACCAAGGATATTACAGGTGGCGAGTCAAGTCCATAGCGTATCTTTAGTTGTTACTAGTGGACAGGAAACTTCATGACAATGATTTAATTTGTTATCTTTTTTCTATAATTCTTTGTAACAGCCTACTATATGGCTTTAACTGATCTGGTGGCCGATTTCAAACAGCCAAATATATGTGATTTCAAAATGGGTACGGTCACTTATTTTCCAGGTTCTTCACAAGATAAAATCTCTCGTGAAGAACTTAAATACATATGGCGTCGTAAACTAGGGTTTGTTTTATCTGGTATGCAGGTAAGCTGTGTATCGTTTTAATGACTTTTCAAGTATAATTTATACTTATGAAAAAAAGGGTTAAATGGAGACTATATCTGTTGGATAGATTATGAGATTAAAAATTTCATTATTTTCATGTGCTAGTGAGGTGGGTAAAGTAGTGATTCTTATTTTTGCATCGTCAGCAAGCTTCACATGTACTCTCACTAAACACTAAAATTCGATTTATTTTGAAGTGCTTGCGATGTCACAGATTATATTGTGTGTTACTCATCTACGTCCTTGTTTGATCTGTCATCTGTTCACTGTGTTCTATTTCAGGACTGTGCTTTTTAGAAGTAAAAAAATACTAATAGGTTACTGGTATTTCATCGTAGATGTCTTCAAAGAGTCGCTCATATAAATGCCCTGGTACGGCCAATAATGGGTAAAGTCCGCTCACCCTCTCCAAACGCTCTCACATGGCCACGCGTATTTAGCCTCTGTCAGGGAAGTCCTACTCACTGTGTTTATATAAATAAATAAACTGAAATCGGTCCTAAGATACTTGACAATAATAACAAATCAGTTGTGAATCTTCATCAACCAAGTTGCTTAAGATATTTGTTGTAGTATATCCAAGCATCATCAGCTATCTTGATTTGCATAGGTAGGTAAAGTAGGAATAGATTAGAGGAAAACTTTGACAAACTAAACCAAGACATGACATCAATCGATGACGTTATCGACAGTTAAAGTGAGCCATATTTATATGTTCAGACTGCTAGGTTGAGTTCTCTACGCTATTATCATAACCATTAGTTGGAGACGTTAAGTGATATGACACAGATGCATTCATTTTTTGTCTACCCTTAAATCGTGAGTTTTACTGATGATTTTATTTCGAAAATTCATCCCTCTCGAATCATATCTACTATCACTGATATTATTACTATATCTAGTATTCTGTCTCGGTTTGTACTGATATTTTCACTTTGTTATCTTCATATTTTATAACAACTTGAACCAGTGTATGTCAGTCAGTCAGCTACAACGTAGGACCAGGAACATATATGCATCGGTCCAAGCTACCATACCTCGTTAGCACAACAAGATGAACACCGGATTCATAGAAGTAGTTAATTTAGTGGTGGTAGTATATAAAAGATAAGTTGTATATAAGGATATAGTATAGGAAGGAAGACAGATATGAAGCAATTTTAATCCCAAGGTTTAAGGGAAGATAAAGAGTGTATACACCCGCGCCATCGTGATCGATTCTGAGCCGTGTCACCTAGTCTCCAACCATTGGTTACGATAGTCACACGGACCCCAACCAAGAAGTCTGCATCTGCCGACATGGCTCAGACTAAAAGTTAGTGACTTCATGCTCTGATGCCACGTTTTGTTTTGGCCACGAATATATGTATATTCAAGGTTCTATGTTACTTATGACTGCCTGACATGTGACATTTCTATAAACACTCATCATAAACTAAGTTTATTACACGATAGTATACTCTCTGTCACTGTGTACATTTTGTATATATGACTTATAATTAAGATGACAATTACTTTGTTTCATAGTGTATTTCCTCAGTTTATTGTAGCTTATCAATAGTATTCAGAAGAAATAATTACCAATTAAAACTTAAAGACTTTATAGCTGATACTCAATTACTATACAGTAAATTGATTCATGTAATCTATATTCTATTTTACAGATATCTGATACAAAAAATCATTGTTTAATTAAGTTTCCTAAAGCATTTGGACGTACTTTAACTCCAGAACAAGTTTATTCTATTGGTTAGTCATTATCATTTATACTTATGTTAGTCTTGTCATAACGTTGATTATACCATTCTCTCTATTCATTAGTGATTTCCTTAATGTATGTCCGATCCACTTCCAACGTCTTTTCCTAATTTCCTCTTCAGCTAGAAGCTTGTTTGTCCTCTCCCATAAAGATGTAATTATACATTATATAATTTTATTATGTAAATAAAATGAATTACACTGCAAATTATAAAGATACAAAAGAGGAGAGGTAGAAAAGTAGTGAGGAGTAATAACAATGAAGAAAATCGCTCTTGTAAAAAGTTTCTTATCTTCAAGGAACATGCAGAATCCAAGGATACCTAGAGAAGTCTTCTTAAAAGGTTATTTAATAGATTGAAGAATATGAATGGAATCTGATTCACTACTGTTACAAAGACAATAACTTTTATCCATCTCGATTATCGGGTTCACCTTCTGTCTCCGCTTTCTTGTAACCAAGATATTCGCAACAGACTATCGTTCATAATACCTTGTTCCGCACCCGCGATAATTATCGAAGAGGCAGAGTTTGTTCCAAGGAAAAACTAAATAATTCTATCTAACCATATCGGTTGAAACCAGAATAAAGCTCTTGGTTCCTTTTGTCTGCTTAGTACCTTGGTACTGGGTCGGGAGTCATTCGAAGGAATTGTGAAGAATGTAAAGACCACACATATGTTAGGAGTTTATTTGGGATTTTCTACCATTAATCTAAATGACTGGGGTGGTTCATATTTCAAATAAATATTCTTAGTGGTGTTGCGTTCTCTGAGCAACGTCGTCGGGATAATTTTGTCCCGTACAGTCGAGAGTGAGGATAGTCCGCTCTCCTTCTCCAAATGCTCTCACATGGCCACGCGTATATAGCCTCTACCTGTTATATCCCCTGGCGAATTATGAATCATAAATCTGAGGTCCATTTATGGACAAATGTAATACGCCTATTCCTATTGGATAGTTGTTAAATAAGTGACTTAAATCTGAGGTCTATTTATGGACAAATACAATATGCCCATTCCCTATTGGATAGTTGTTAAATAAGTGACCTAATCGTTTCCGTGTTCCTCTTATCATAACCTTTATTTTGACCTTGGAACTATTATTATTGATTACTTTCCCCCTAGCTACAGCCACATTGGCCAATTACTGTACAAATGTTATTTTTCTATTTTTGATATATGTGGTCTGTTTGGTTAGTATATATAACCCAGTATGCTTGTGAATAATGATTCATATTGCTGAGGCTGTTATTTGTGTTCTGGACTTAACGGGCTGGGCTAGGGAGATAGGAAGGACCGAAAAGCACCCAAGACTGCTCGTACGTAATTTTCTGTATCATTGCACGTTCATATATATTATAAGGGCCTAGAAAATAATACGTTATAACACTACCAACGAAGTCCTACTCACTGCCTTATCGTGGCGGAGGCGTTGATTACAAAACTGAGAGGACAAGGAGCGAATGTTTGGTGCTTTAACCGGGTTGGTGGATATAGAGAGTCTACCTGGGGGAGTTGAAAACCCCTGATTCCAAACCAACGGTGCATATGGACTCCAGTATCCTGAGGGAACAAATGGCGTATGAATCAATCCTCGGTCACCGGCTTCCACGGGAATGTATCTCCTCACTATTCTCCACTGCCTTGTGGGTCAGACGTTTAGGTCAAAGGCTCCGTGTGTCGCCCCCTAAGAAAACCACCTGTTTCAGTTTGGGCACCTGGGCAGTATCACAGTCCTCACACAAATCAAATGAGATTTGTGTGGCGCATATATATCTGGTGCCCCTTTGTACCAATATTTGTGTTCAAATAAATAAAACAGAGAACACAAAGCTGCGTAGAAATGAATCTGTGTTCAAACAGTAAAATCAACGTTATAGGTAGATTGAAGTGGAAAATCAGTTTGCTATTTTATTGGCCAAGCTATTCACCTGTTGGACCAGTCGTATTAAATTTTTGTACTCTAAAGAGGATAACTCGAGATTACTTCCCAACTCAGTAACAGTGTATCAATCAATTATTGAATAATGCCATGCATTCCAAATGATACTCTTTATATGAATACTTAAACAATTTCTGGTGTCCATCTATAGAGAATACCTACCTTCCTTATTATATTAGCTGTATTCGTCTCGGATGGATCTCGCGTGCGGGTTCCATTGAAAACTAGGAATCACTGGACAGCTGTCTCATCCTAGTATAAGAATTCCTCATCAGTGCGCACTCATAAACTAGTCAGGGATCTTGTACAGGTTTTAAAGTTTTACAGAGAATCATTTTTATTGTGCATTGAGATTTTTTTGATTCTGTAAGACGACTGCTGGAGTAGAAATCAATAAATCTTCGTCATCTATTTAAATCCGACATTAGGTACTTGCAAAAAACTGTGTAAACATTCCAGAATATATGCTTCAATTAAATGAAGGGTTTTTTATTATCAATGTAAAGATCAGTGTAATTTTAAAAAGGAAAATTACGGACGAACCAATCGTAGTATTCAACAGGATGAAAATGTTGTATAAAAGTTGATATATTTCATTTATCAAATAGAGATTAATGTACTCAGCTTTACCGGACAGATTGTGTGAATACTGTTTATACTACAATTTCGGCATTAAACTAGACGGTACCATCTTCAAACACTCAATCTAATAGTTTCAAGTTGTTGTTTATTACTTCATGTAATTATTTTTTTTTATATTTCATAGGTGTAAAACCATTTCTAGGTACAGATCCTACCTATAGTGTTAAACTTGCTCAAAATTATATCATACAACTTGGTCGTATTTTAAATTGGTATATAGAATATGGTGCAAAAGAGCTTACATTCTGTCGTTCTTCAATTTTATTAATTCACGAGTCATTACCAAATACTACTAATAATAATGAATATTATCCTTCCAAATCATGTTTTGCATCATCATCAGCACTCACTACTACCATCATTAACAATAACACACATCATACTTCATGTATTACAAGAAATCCAATATTGAATAATCAATTAGTCAATAACTCACCTAATTTTCCTTTTATTCATAAAACCAATACTGGTAACGGGAATAACGGTAATAGTAGTTGTCATGCTACTACTACTACTACTACTACTCCTACAACCGTACATGCTCAAGTTTATTTAATTGATTTTGCCCATTGGTCTGAAAAACATTATTCTCCTTTATTTAATAATAATATTGAACATAATAAAAATTATTGGACATGTGAATTAACTAATGGTTTTCGGTATGGATTAGAAAATTTAATCAAATTAATGCATTATATTGTGAATAATAAAAGTGCAATTTGTATAAATTCATAAATGATTATTTAACTTTTTGTTATGTATCAATATACATATACTACTAATGTATTAACTAATCTTAATAAGTACTATATTACCTATTTATATCAATTTAGTTGATCTCTTTTTTTTCAACATTCTTTTTTATTAAATGTAATCACATAATACTACTGATATATGTACACAGAAATAATCTCTCATTGATGAAGAGTTGAATACTGTCGCTCATCAGTCAATCAGTTATAACGTAGAAGTTCGTATGTATGTACATCAGTTCGAGTTGCCATAGCACATATCTAAACACATACACACACAAACACTTTTTTTTGGAATCCACTATTGTTTTTTTTTCTGCGACGATCAATCATATTATTGTTATTATTATTACTTATATCATATTGTATGCATATTACAAGGGAAAAGGGGGGTCTCTGCATTTTGACAATTTCGGTTTATTCCTCACTTACTCTCTATATATCTATCTATGTTTTTTTGCCTTTCTCTCTGTCCATATCTATTCGAAATGACTTCACTATGATATCCAGTATGTATTTATTTGTTGACCCCCCCCTCCGTTTAATATTAATAAATGTCTAATTTTTTTTGGCATGTTTATTGATTATTTATTTATCAACAACAACAAAAAGTTTATTTATTTTGTTCATTGTGTTGTGTTTTCTTTTTTTATTGTTGTTGTTGTTGTTGCTATGCAAAATAGGTCACTAAAGTGACCTATTATTTGTTATTAATTAGTTGAGTGTAGGTTATAGATTTCAATTTCATGTTCATTTTAATCATTTATAATTAACATTAGAATATGATACAAAATTGTTTAGTACAGTTAAGTTTCACACCATTTTTGATATGGTTCTCAATTGTACTTTATAGAGCTTAACATAATATGTTCATTGATCTAAATTGTCATATCGGATAAGTTATGATATGATGAATTTAAACTAAATCGAAATGATTATAGTAGTAATGATCATGAGAGACTGATTATTGACAATGTGGTTCAGAAACGCTAGTCAGTCAGCTACAACGTAGGGCGAGGCACATATATGCATCGGTCCAAGTTGCCATACTTCGTTAGCACAAAATGAACACCGGATTCATAGAAGTAGTTAATTTAATGGTGGTAAAATATATGAAAGAAAGGTTGTATGTAAGGATATAGTACAGGAAGGAAGATAGATATGAAGCAATTTTAATCCCAAGGTTTAAGGGAAGAGAATGTATACACCCGCGCCATCGTGATCGATTCTGAGCCGTGTCACCTAGTCTCCAACCATTGGTTACGATAGTCACACGGACCCCAACCAAGAAGTCTGCATCTGCCGACATGGCTCAGACTAAAAGTTAGTGACTTCATGCTCTGATGCCACGTTTTGTTTTGGCCACGAATGTATGTATATTCAAGGTTCTATGTTACTTATGACTGCCTGACATGTGACATTTCTATAAACACTCATCATAAACTAAGTTTATTACACGATAGTATATTCTCTGTCACTGTGTACATTTTGTATATATGACTTATAATTAAGATGACAATTACTTTGTTTCATAGTGTATTTCCTCAGTTTATTGTAGCTTATCAATAGTATTCAGAAGAAATAATTACCAATTAAAACTTAAAGACTTTATAGCTGATACTCAATTACTATACAGTAAATTGATTCATGTAATCTATATTCTATTTTACAGATATCTGATACAAAAAATCATTGTTTAATTAAGTTTCCTAAAGCATTTGGACGTACTTTAACTCCAGAACAAGTTTATTCTATTGGTTAGTCATTATCATTTATACTTATGTTAGTCTTGTCATAACGTTGATTATACCATTCTCTCTATTCATTAGTGATTTCCTTAATGTATGTCCGATCCACTTCCAACGTCTTTTCCTAATTTCCTCTTCAGCTGGAAGCTTGTTTGTCCTCTCCCATAAAGATGTAATTATACATTATATAATTTTATTATGTAAATAAAATGAATTACACTGCAAATTATAAAGATACAAAAGAGGAGAGGTAGAAAAGTAGTGAGGAGTAATAACAATGAAGAAAATCGCTCTTGTAAAAAGTTTCTTATCTTCAAGGAACATGCAGAATCCAAGGATACCTAGAGAAGTCTTCTTAAAAGGTTATTTAATAGATTGAAGAATATGAATGGAATCTGATTCACTACTGTTACAAAGACAATAACTTTTATCCATCTCGATTATCGGGTTCACCTTCTGTCTCCGCTTTCTTGTAACCAAGATATTCGCAACAGACTATCGTTCATAATACCTTGTTCCGCACCCGCGATAATTATCGAAGAGGCAGAGTTTGTTCCAAGGAAAAACTAAATAATTCTATCTGTAACCATATCGGTTGAAACCAGAATAAAGCTCTTGGTTCCTTTTGTCTGCTTAGTACCTTGGTACTGGGTCGGGAGTCATTCGAAGGAATTGTGAAGAATATAAAGACCACACATATGTTAGGAGTTTATTTGGGATTTTCTACCATTAATCTAAATGACTGGGGTGGTTCATATTTCAAATAAATATTCTTAGTGGTGTTGCGTTCTCTGAGCAACGTCGTCGGGATAATTTTGTCCCGTACAGTCGAGAGTGAGGATAGTCCGCTCTCCTTCTCCAAATGCTCTCACATGGCCACGCGTATATAGCCTCTACCTGTTATATCCCCTGGCGAATTATGAATCATAAATCTGAGGTCCATTTATGGACAAATGTAATACGCCTATTCCTATTGGATAGTTGTTAAATAAGTGACTTAAATCTGAGGTCTATTTATGGACAAATACAATATGCCCATTCCCTATTGGATAGTTGTTAAATAAGTGACCTAATCGTTTCCGTGTTCCTCTTATCATAACCTTTATTTTGACCTTGGAACTATTATTATTGATTACTTTCCCCCTAGCTACAGCCACATTGGCCAATTACTGTACAAATGTTATTTTTCTATTTTTGATATATGTGGTCTGTTTGGTTAGTATATATAACCCAGTATGCTTGTGAATAATGATTCATATTGCTGAGGCTGTTATTTGTGTTCTGGACTTAACGGGCTGGGCTAGGCAGATAGGAAGGACCGAATAGCACCCAAGACTGCTCGTACGTAATTTTCTGTATCATTGCACGTTCATATATATTATAAGGGCCTAGAAAACAATACGTTATAACACTACCAACGAAGTCCTACTCACTGCCTTATCGTGGCGGAGGCGTTGATTACAAAACTGAGAGGACAAGAAGCGAATGTTTGGTGCTTTAACCGGGTTGGTGGATATAGAGAGTCTACCTGCGGGAGTTGAAAACCCCTGATTCCAAACCAACGGTGCATATGGACTCCAGTATCCTGAGGGAACAAATGGCATATGAATCAATCCTCGGTCACCGGCTTCCACGGGAATGCATCTCCTCACTATTCTCCACTGCCTTGTGGGTCAGACGTTTAGGTCAAAGGCTCCGTGTGTCGCCCCCTAAGAAAACCACCTGTTTCAGTTTGGGCACCTGGGCAGTATCACAGTCCTCACACAAATCAAATGAGATTTGTGTGGCGCATATATATCTGGTGCCCCTTTGTACCAATATTTGTGTTCAAATAAATAAAACAGAGAACACAAAGCTGCGTAGAAATGAATCTGTGTTCAAACAGTAAAATCAACGTTATAGGTAGATTGAAGTGGAAAATCAGTTTGCTATTTTATTGGCCAAGCTATTCACCTGTTGGACCAGTCGTATTAAATTTTTGTACTCTAAAGAGGATAACTCGAGATTACTTCCCAACTCAGTAACAGTGTATCAATCAATTATTGAATAATGCCATGCATTCCAAATGATACTCTTTATATGAATACTTAAACAATTTCTGGTGTCCATCTATAGAGAATACCTACCTTCCTTATTATATTAGCTGTATTCGTCTCGGATGGATCTCGCGTGCGGGTTCCATTGAAAACTAGGAATCACTGGATAGATGTCTCATCCTAGTATAAGAATTCCTCATCAGTGCGCACTCATAAACTAGTCAGGGATCTTGTACAGGTTTTAAAGTTTTACAGAGAATCATTTTTATTGTGCATTGAGATTTTTTTGATTCTGTAAGACGACTGCTGGAGTAGAAATCAATAAATCTTCGTCATCTATTTAAATCCGACATTAGGTACTTGCAAAAAACTGTGTAAACATTCCAGAATATATGCTTCAATTAAATGAAGGGTTTTTTATTATCAATGTAAAGATCAGTGTAATTTTAAAAAGGAAAATTACGGACGAACCAATCGTTGTATTCAACAGGATGAAAATGTTGTATAAAAGTTGATGTATTTCATTTATCAAATAGAGATTAATGTACTCAGCTTTACCGGACAGATTGTGTGAATACTGTTTATACTACAATTTCGGCATTAAACTAGACGGTACCATCTTCAAACACTCAATCTAATAGTTTCAAGTTGTTGTTTATTACTTCATGTAATTATATTTTTTTATATTTCATAGGTGTAAAACCATTTCTAGGTACAGATCCTACCTATAGTGTTAAACTTGCTCAAAATTATATCATACAACTTGGTCGTATTTTAAATTGGTATATAGAATATGGTGCAAAAGAGCTTACATTCTGTCGTTCTTCAATTTTATTAATTCACGAGTCATTACCAAATACTACTAATAATAATGAATATTATCCTTCCAAATCATGTTTTGCATCATCATCAGCACTCACTACTACCATCATTAACAATAACACACATCATACTTCATGTATTACAAGAAATCCAATATTGAATAATCAATTAGTCAATAACTCACCTAATTTTCCTTTTATTCATAAAACCAATACTGGTAACGGGAATAACGGTAATAGTAGTTGTCATGCTACTACTACTACTCCTACAACCGTACATGCTCAAGTTTATTTAATTGATTTTGCCCATTGGTCTGAAAAACATTATTCTCCTTTATTTAATAATAATATTGAACATAATAAAAATTATTGGACATGTGAATTAACTAATGGTTTTCGGTATGGATTAGAAAATTTAATCAAATTAATGCATTATATTGTGAATAATAAAAGTGCAATTTGTATAAATTCATAAATGATTATTTAACTTTTTCTTATGTATCAATATACATATACTACTAATGTATTAACTAATCTTAATAAGTACTATATTACCTATTTATATCAATTTAGTTGATCTCTTTTTTTTCAACATTCTTTTTTATTGAATGTAATCACATAATACTACTGATATATGTACACAGAAATAATCTCTCATTGATGAAGAGTTGAATACTGTCGCTCATCAGTCAGTCAGTTATAACGTAGAAGTTCGTATGTATGTACATCAGTTCGAGTTGCCATAGCACATATCTAAACACATACACACACAAACACTTTTTTTTGGAATCCACTATTGTTTTTTTTTCTGCGACGATCAATCATATTATTGTTATTATTATTACTTATATCATATTGTATGCATATTACAAGGGAAAAGGGGGGTCTCTGCATTTTGACAATTTCGGTTTATTCCTCACTTACTCTCTATATATCTATCTATGTTTTTTTGCCTTTCTCTCTGTCCATATCTATTCGAAATGACTTCACTATGATATCCAGTATGTATTTATTTGTTGACCCCCCCCTCCGTTTAATATTAATAAATGTCTAATTTTTTTTGGCATGTTTATTGATTATTTATTTATCAACAACAACAAAAAGTTTATTTATTTTGTTCATTGTGTTGTGTTTTCTTTTTTTATTGTTGTTGTTGTTGTTGCTATGCAAAATAGGTCACTAAAGTGACCTATTATTTGTTATTAATTAGTTGAGTGTAGGTTATAGATTTCAATTTCATGTTCATTTTAATCATTTATAATTAACATTAGAATATGATACAAAATTGTTTAGTACAGTTAAGTTTCACACCATTTTTGATATGGTTCTCAATTGTACTTTATAGAGCTTAACATAATATGTTCATTGATCTAAATTGTCATATCGGATAAGTTATGATATGATGAATTTAAACTAAATCGAAATGATTATAGTAGTAATGATCATGAGAGACTGATTATTGACAATGTGGTTCAGAAACGCTAGTCAGTCAGCTACAACGTAGGGCGAGGCACATATATGCATCGGTCCAAGTTGCCATACTTCGTTAGCACAAAATGAACACCGGATTCATAGAAGTAGTTAATTTAATGGTGGTAAAATATATGAAAGAAAGGTTGTATGTAAGGATATAGTACAGGAAGGAAGATAGATATGAAGCAATTTTAATCCCAAGGTTTAAGGGAAGAGAATGTATACACCCGCGCCATCGTGATCGATTCTGAGCCGTGTCACCTAGTCTCCAACCATTGGTTACGATAGTCACACGGACCCCAACCAAGAAGTCTGCATCTGCCGACATGGCTCAGACTAAAAGTTAGTGACTTCATGCTCTGATGCCACGTTTTGTTTTGGCCACGAATGTATGTATATTCAAGGTTCTATGTTACTTATGACTGCCTGACATGTGACATTTCTATAAACACTCATCATAAACTAAGTTTATTACACGATAGTATATTCTCTGTCACTGTGTACATTTTGTATATATGACTTATAATTAAGATGACAATTACTTTGTTTCATAGTGTATTTCCTCAGTTTATTGTAGCTTATCAATAGTATTCAGAAGAAATAATTACCAATTAAAACTTAAAGACTTTATAGCTGATACTCAATTACTATACAGTAAATTGATTCATGTAATCTATATTCTATTTTACAGATATCTGATACAAAAAATCATTGTTTAATTAAGTTTCCTAAAGCATTTGGACGTACTTTAACTCCAGAACAAGTTTATTCTATTGGTTAGTCATTATCATTTATACTTATGTTAGTCTTGTCATAACGTTGATTATACCATTCTCTCTATTCATTAGTGATTTCCTTAATGTATGTCCGATCCACTTCCAACGTCTTTTCCTAATTTCCTCTTCAGCTGGAAGCTTGTTTGTCCTCTCCCATAAAGATGTAATTATACATTATATAATTTTATTATGTAAATAAAATGAATTACACTGCAAATTATAAAGATACAAAAGAGGAGAGGTAGAAAAGTAGTGAGGAGTAATAACAATGAAGAAAATCGCTCTTGTAAAAAGTTTCTTATCTTCAAGGAACATGCAGAATCCAAGGATACCTAGAGAAGTCTTCTTAAAAGGTTATTTAATAGATTGAAGAATATGAATGGAATCTGATTCACTACTGTTACAAAGACAATAACTTTTATCCATCTCGATTATCGGGTTCACCTTCTGTCTCCGCTTTCTTGTAACCAAGATATTCGCAACAGACTATCGTTCATAATACCTTGTTCCGCACCCGCGATAATTATCGAAGAGGCAGAGTTTGTTCCAAGGAAAAACTAAATAATTCTATCTGTAACCATATCGGTTGAAACCAGAATAAAGCTCTTGGTTCCTTTTGTCTGCTTAGTACCTTGGTACTGGGTCGGGAGTCATTCGAAGGAATTGTGAAGAATATAAAGACCACACATATGTTAGGAGTTTATTTGGGATTTTCTACCATTAATCTAAATGACTGGGGTGGTTCATATTTCAAATAAATATTCTTAGTGGTGTTGCGTTCTCTGAGCAACGTCGTCGGGATAATTTTGTCCCGTACAGTCGAGAGTGAGGATAGTCCGCTCTCCTTCTCCAAATGCTCTCACATGGCCACGCGTATATAGCCTCTACCTGTTATATCCCCTGGCGAATTATGAATCATAAATCTGAGGTCCATTTATGGACAAATGTAATACGCCTATTCCTATTGGATAGTTGTTAAATAAGTGACTTAAATCTGAGGTCTATTTATGGACAAATACAATATGCCCATTCCCTATTGGATAGTTGTTAAATAAGTGACCTAATCGTTTCCGTGTTCCTCTTATCATAACCTTTATTTTGACCTTGGAACTATTATTATTGATTACTTTCCCCCTAGCTACAGCCACATTGGCCAATTACTGTACAAATGTTATTTTTCTATTTTTGATATATGTGGTCTGTTTGGTTAGTATATATAACCCAGTATGCTTGTGAATAATGATTCATATTGCTGAGGCTGTTATTTGTGTTCTGGACTTAACGGGCTGGGCTAGGCAGATAGGAAGGACCGAATAGCACCCAAGACTGCTCGTACGTAATTTTCTGTATCATTGCACGTTCATATATATTATAAGGGCCTAGAAAACAATACGTTATAACACTACCAACGAAGTCCTACTCACTGCCTTATCGTGGCGGAGGCGTTGATTACAAAACTGAGAGGACAAGAAGCGAATGTTTGGTGCTTTAACCGGGTTGGTGGATATAGAGAGTCTACCTGCGGGAGTTGAAAACCCCTGATTCCAAACCAACGGTGCATATGGACTCCAGTATCCTGAGGGAACAAATGGCATATGAATCAATCCTCGGTCACCGGCTTCCACGGGAATGCATCTCCTCACTATTCTCCACTGCCTTGTGGGTCAGACGTTTAGGTCAAAGGCTCCGTGTGTCGCCCCCTAAGAAAACCACCTGTTTCAGTTTGGGCACCTGGGCAGTATCACAGTCCTCACACAAATCAAATGAGATTTGTGTGGCGCATATATATCTGGTGCCCCTTTGTACCAATATTTGTGTTCAAATAAATAAAACAGAGAACACAAAGCTGCGTAGAAATGAATCTGTGTTCAAACAGTAAAATCAACGTTATAGGTAGATTGAAGTGGAAAATCAGTTTGCTATTTTATTGGCCAAGCTATTCACCTGTTGGACCAGTCGTATTAAATTTTTGTACTCTAAAGAGGATAACTCGAGATTACTTCCCAACTCAGTAACAGTGTATCAATCAATTATTGAATAATGCCATGCATTCCAAATGATACTCTTTATATGAATACTTAAACAATTTCTGGTGTCCATCTATAGAGAATACCTACCTTCCTTATTATATTAGCTGTATTCGTCTCGGATGGATCTCGCGTGCGGGTTCCATTGAAAACTAGGAATCACTGGATAGATGTCTCATCCTAGTATAAGAATTCCTCATCAGTGCGCACTCATAAACTAGTCAGGGATCTTGTACAGGTTTTAAAGTTTTACAGAGAATCATTTTTATTGTGCATTGAGATTTTTTTGATTCTGTAAGACGACTGCTGGAGTAGAAATCAATAAATCTTCGTCATCTATTTAAATCCGACATTAGGTACTTGCAAAAAACTGTGTAAACATTCCAGAATATATGCTTCAATTAAATGAAGGGTTTTTTATTATCAATGTAAAGATCAGTGTAATTTTAAAAAGGAAAATTACGGACGAACCAATCGTTGTATTCAACAGGATGAAAATGTTGTATAAAAGTTGATGTATTTCATTTATCAAATAGAGATTAATGTACTCAGCTTTACCGGACAGATTGTGTGAATACTGTTTATACTACAATTTCGGCATTAAACTAGACGGTACCATCTTCAAACACTCAATCTAATAGTTTCAAGTTGTTGTTTATTACTTCATGTAATTATTTTTTTTTATATTTCATAGGTGTAAAACCATTTCTAGGTACAGATCCTACCTATAGTGTTAAACTTGCTCAAAATTATATCATACAACTTGGTCGTATTTTAAATTGGTATATAGAATATGGTGCAAAAGAGCTTACATTCTGTCGTTCTTCAATTTTATTAATTCACGAGTCATTACCAAATACTACTAATAATAATGAATATTATCCTTCCAAATCATGTTTTGCATCATCATCAGCACTCACTACTACCATCATTAACAATAACACACATCATACTTCATGTATTACAAGAAATCCAATATTGAATAATCAATTAGTCAATAACTCACCTAATTTTCCTTTTATTCATAAAACCAATACTGGTAACGGGAATAACGGTAATAGTAGTTGTCATGCTACTACTACTACTCCTACAACCGTACATGCTCAAGTTTATTTAATTGATTTTGCCCATTGGTCTGAAAAACATTATTCTCCTTTATTTAATAATAATATTGAACATAATAAAAATTATTGGACATGTGAATTAACTAATGGTTTTCGGCATGGATTAGAAAATCTAATCAAATTAATGCATTATATTGTGAATAATAAAAGTGCAATTTGTATAAATTCATAAATGATTATTTAACTTTTTCTTATGTATCAATATACATATACTACTAATGTATTAACTAATCTTAATAAGTACTATATTACCTATTTATATCAATTTAGTTGATCTCTTTTTTTTCAACATTCTTTTTTATTGAATGTAATCACATAATACTACTGATATATGTACACAGAAATAATCTCTCATTGATGAAGAGTTGAATACTGTCGCTCATCAGTCAGTCAGTTATAACGTAGAAGTTCGTATGTATGTACATCAGTTCGAGTTGCCATAGCACATATCTAAACACATACACACACAAACACTTTTTTTTGGAATCCACTATTGTTTTTTTTTCTGCGACGATCAATCATATTATTGTTATTATTATTACTTATATCATATTGTATGCATATTACAAGGGAAAAGGGGGGTCTCTGCATTTTGACAATTTCGGTTTATTCCTCACTTACTCTCTATATATCTATCTATGTTTTTTTGCCTTTCTCTCTGTCCATATCTATTCGAAATGACTTCACTATGATATCCAGTATGTATTTATTTGTTGACCCCCCCCCTCCGTTTAATATTAATAAATGTCTAATTTTTTTTGGCATGTTTATTGATTATTTATTTATCAACAACAACAAAAAGTTTATTTATTTTGTTCATTGTGTTGTGTTTTCTTTTTTTATTGTTGTTGTTGTTGTTGCTATGCAAAATAGGTCACTAAAGTGACCTATTATTTGTTATTAATTAGTTGAGTGTAGGTTATAGATTTCAATTTCATGTTCATTTTAATCATTTATAATTAACATTAGAATATGATACAAAATTGTTTAGTACAGTTAAGTTTCACACCATTTTTGATATGGTTCTCAATTGTACTTTATAGAGCTTAACATAATATGTTCATTGATCTAAATTGTCATATCGGATAAGTTATGATATGATGAATTTAAACTAAATCGAAATGATTATAGTAGTAATGATCATGAGAGACTGATTATTGACAATGTGGTTCAGAAACGCTAGTCAGTCAGCTACAACGTAGGGCGAGGCACATATATGCATCGGTCCAAGTTGCCATACTTCGTTAGCACAAAATGAACACCGGATTCATAGAAGTAGTTAATTTAATGGTGGTAAAATATATGAAAGAAAGGTTGTATGTAAGGATATAGTACAGGAAGGAAGATAGATATGAAGCAATTTTAATCCCAAGGTTTAAGGGAAGAGAATGTATACACCTACGCAATTGTGATCAATTCTGAGCCATGTCATACAGAGTCTTTAACCATTCGTTACGATAGTCACGCGGACTCCAACCAAGTCTACATCTTCCAACATGGCTCAGACTAGCAGTTGGTGACTTCAAGCTCTAATGCCACGTTTTGTTTTGACCGCCCCTAACTTTCTTCCAACTATCTTGTTATGCTTGACACTAAATCGATTCCGCGGTAACGAACGGAAGCCAATGACACGATAAGCTATTCTAATCGGTTGTCCCAGGCCCCGCTAACACATCTCTAATACTAGTCATCATAGCGCGTCGTGGTAATGTGCGTTCAGGCATACGTAACACGTGGCCCAACCATCTCAGTCGATGAAGATTCATCACCTCATCAACTGATTTACCATCATTCCCTAATACCCTGCGTCTAACCTCACTATTACCCGGTGATCCCGGCAGATGCGAGCAATATTTCTAAGGCATCTGTGGTCAAATACTAGTAATTTACGAGTATCTTCTACTCTTAATGACCATGTTTCACAGCCGTAAAATAGAAATTTATATATGTATAAGAGGAGATTCTGGAATCCAAATTGAAGTTGATAATAAAGAATTAATAACTCTGTATTGATACTTAATAACATCACACAACATCTTTAATTTTAAGTAACTTATTTATTTCAACACACAAATATTGGTACAAAGAGGCACCAGATATATATGCGCCACGCAAATCTCATTTGATTTGTGTGAGGGCTGTGATACTGCCCGGGTACCCAAACTGAAACAGGTGGTTTTATTAGGGGGCCACACACGGATTCTTTGATCTAAAGATCTGATCCACAACGCAATGGAGCATCGTGAGGAGATGCATTCCCGTGGAAGCCTGTGAACGAGGATTGATTCATACGCCATTTGTTCCCTCAGGATACTGCAAACCATGTACACCATTAGTTTGAAATCAGGGTTTTCCAACTCCTCTAGGTGGACTTTCCGTGTCCACTAACCTGGTTAGAGCGTCAAACATTGGCTTTTTGTCCTCTCAGTTTCGTAAACAACAGTAATGCCACGATATGGCAGTGAGTAGGACTTCCCTGGTAGGGGCTATATACGCGTGACCGTGTGCGAGCATTTGGAGTGGGAGAGCGGAGTCCTCACTCTCGGCCGTAACAGAGCATTTATGTGTCTTAGCATTGCCGTTGGTAATAATCTTGTCTTTATGAACATTTCTTACTGTTTACTTTTAACCAATTGACACATTCAATAGTTATGTAAAATTATATGTCTAAAATTAAGTTATACAACTCGTGACAAATGAATGACTATTGGGAAAGTGAACAGTTTTATAGGTATGAATTGTTAACATTGCCTATCTACGTAATAATTATATTTTAAAAGAAAGAATTAAAATTCCCGTCAAAATCAGCTGGGAAAAAATGAATATTTTGATAATCATCATGCTGAATCCTCAAATGGCTTGGGTTCTGTTGAATCACGTGTTAATATCCAGTTCTCAAGGACATACTGAGGAACTCTGTCAATACCCATGTCTATTTCTCTATCGTCCTTGATCGTAGTTCAAATAAACGTTTTGCCTTCTCATTACCTGGGGACTAGGTAAAAAGTCATTAGTAAAACAGCGCGATTTGATTTAAAGAGTATTTGTCGAAATATTTCGGTTTGAGTAATTAGATGCGGATTATAACAAATCGCTTAGTAGTAACTAACTTCATATTCTCTAATTCTTGTCAATACAGTAACTGAGTCAAATGACTTGAGGTTGTGATAAACATGTTTTTTTGCTAAATGGCTGAATATAATTCCCAGAAACCTCTGACGTTAAGCTTTGTCAGTAAAGTGTGCTCATAATCTCGAAAGAGACGATAATGTTCATGAAATTATGAATCTAATACGATATATGAATCACGCAATCAGACAAATGTAAAACAGGATTCACGTAGAGTATGTATGACATGCCTCAAAATCGTTTGCAATGGCGAAGGTGAATCCACACTTTGTGTTCTACCAAATTCTAATCTTCCGAATTCTTCATGTCCCTATCTTTTTTCTCTTTCCAAATTGATTTAACTGGATTATACTCCTTCAATCACATCTTCAAACCCTAATCTTTCACAATAATGCTTATACTCTTACTACTTCTACCACTATGGGATTTGAATCGACAACTGCATCTCTGTGCTAGTGTTGTATGGCACCTCGAATTGATGTACGTACGAAGTTCTACGTTGTGACTGACTGACGCAAAATATATAAGGGAATGAGTTTAAGAGTACAGAAAAGCACTGAATTAAAATGATTGAAGATTTAATCCAGAAACTAAATATTCGATGAATGATAAGACAAAATGACATTTAAACTGCGACTAGAAATAGTAATTTTCAATTAAGTTGTCAATATCCTTCATTTGATTGATGGTTCTATTGTAAGATAAACTATTCGAAAAACAACGACCAACAGTTTTACATAGCGATCTACATCTTAAGCTATTTCTTGTCAGTATTAGTATTAGTTAGAGTATAGAAATTAGAGGACAATAGCATGGAGTAATAACCTTGTAAGATAAAGCGATGACTACTGAAATTACTTCTCATGTATAGGATAAGCATAATCTAAAATTCATGCGACTTAGTAAGAGATAACGTACAGGGAAGAGGCATAGTCATACTCTTGTTGTTCAGTTTAGTCTATTCATTATTAGTGTATCAATTTACTCCGTCATACCGAAATCTCATTGAAAGTTTTTAGTAAATGAATGATGTAACAAACATCAGAGATGAGTTGTCTTTTAAATCAATAAAATGAGATGTTTCTTTCACTTTCAAACTATTTTGACCAATAAATATGAAATGAATAAAGTTAAACATTAACAGTTAAATCCCAACTTAGTAGTCTAAAGATTAAGCGTTCACTAGCAAGACCGAAGGTTCTGCATTCAGTTCCTGTGTGTACACTGTCAAGAAGTCCTATAATAAGGCGAAGGATCCCTCCCCCAGCACTCCTAGGTTTCCAATGATAGTCTCAATCAATCGCAACGTAGGACCTTATAATGGGGATGCTTTTAAGTAATGATACGATTCAGATCATCATGTAATAAATACTTAATAAAGTACATCTTTTGTATTATTCTTGACTATCAAAACTTAAAGAACAAAACAATACTTTTATTCATATAGGAAATTCCCAGTACTGCCAGTACCAAGTTTAGTGTGATGTTCATATTAAAGATAAAGCATATTTGACCTTTAAATTTAACAAATTATGAAACAATGTTATTGTTTTAGATACATAGGTAAAGAAAACTTAAATATATACACGATGATCTGAATCGTATCATTACTTAAAAGTACCACTATTATCAGATCCTACGTTGCGACTGACTGAGACTATCATTAGAAACCTAGGAGCACTGGAGGGGTCTTTCGCTTTATTATAGGACTCACACTAAACTTGGTACTGGCAGTATTGGAAATTTCCTATATGAATAAAAGTATTATTTTGTCCTTTAAGTTTTGATAGTCAAGAATAATACAAAAGATGTACTTTATTAAGCATTTATTTTAACCTTTAAAGAAATTATATAATCATTTTAGTTCATTGTGATATTATCATTGTTTAAACTTGTATAATTCATAGCTTTACATATACTCATTGACTGTTCAATGAAGAGTGGTAGGTCCTGGGTCCGAATCTCGCGAGATGGGATCGTGGATTCGCATTGCTGATGAGTTCCACAATAGGGCGAAACGGCCGTACAGTGCTTCCAGGTTTT